GCAAGGAGGAGCTTAGAAAAGATTGTTTTTCGCGCCTAATTGCAGAAGACACTAGATTTCGTAATTTGGTATAATGTAGCCAATTGTTATTAGAATTGTTCCTCATATGCCTATTTAACACTTGATTTCTAATTTTTATGAATTTGCGAATCGCATCAGTGAACCATGGAGTGCTCGAGACAGCGTTTGTACCTAAGCGGCGCAAGGCAGTCGAAAATATTAGTTAGATTAGATGTAAAGAAAGAAACCATATTGTTCACATTATTCATAGCATAAAGCTGTGACCAATCAATTTGATTAATCATTTATTAAAGCATCAATCATTCACTAAAGCTTCGTCAGAAATTGATCTCAAATCATGGCAGAGCTTCCTACGCGATGGACGATGTGGTTTCTCAATATTTAAATATACATAAACTACACAATGATCGCTAACATCAATTTTGTCGCATATGCCTGATTCCAAAACCGGTAAATCATGGGACAAAAATATTAAATCCAAAAGAGATGCGCAGTTATTTGTTATTCTCGTAGGAGTCTATTATTTGTTTCATCGAGTACAATGATATAATAATACCTTGCAAATGATGCGTATGAGTACCTTGTGGATTCAAGAGATCTATAATATTAAGATCGCCCATACATACAATGTAATCAGTGCTGAAGAAAATGCTCGACAGACAAGCCTCGAGGTCATATAACGCTAAAATCGACGCTTAAGGAGGACGATAAATAGAGAAAATCGCTATCCGCTTTTTATGTAGATGTATAAACGCGCCGACAATCTCGACAACGGAATTCGCGACAGAGATGCACAAGTCGATGGGTGAGTAAGGCAGTGCACTATTTATATATAAGGCAACATCGCCACTCCTCAAGCCATAAGCCCTATCAGAGCGAAGTAGATAGTAATCTTTAATAGCATAGATAGTCGAATCATCCCTTTCACGAAGCCACGTCTCGGAGAGAACCAGTATATCAAGTCTGCGCGAAGAGAGATTAAGTCTTTTACATATACAAAATGCGGCGCAAGAGATCGTTTATATGTGCAACGCGAAAATTTTTAGATCTGGACTCATTCAAAGGCAAATCAAGCAAGAAGTTGTTAAGAGAAGATAAGGAGTTTGAGGAAAAGAGAGACAATCCATCAGAGGGAGAGGACGAGGAAGAAATAGTTGAAGATAAAGGTGGTGAGGTTGTGGTTGGGGGAAAAGTGAGTGCAAAGCATCTGTAGAGGAATAATGGTTATGTCAGAGTGTGGTTACACCGTTAAATGAAGCAACAGAGGAGCGAGATCTAATTGGCATTGAGGATGGCAATGACAGAGGCGCGGCCTGTCGAGCAGCAAAGATAGTCTTAATGAAATACTCTATAGAAGAAAATCTTCGAATTTGAGAGTCATCAGATTCTCTAAAATATATTACGCCACGTCGCATCCAGACACGCGTCACGTTGTAAGACTGGGCAAAAGCCTTCTTCAAGGCAAGCCTTTTGGAGGCAGTAGATCTCTCATATACAGAGATTTTATCGGAAGGCCAAGATTCCTCAATATCACGCACGATGATTCCACATTTACGACGAGCTGCAGCAAGCCACTCGTTTCTTTTAATTATTGACATGAATTTAACAATAAGTGGCCTAGAAACAGAGCTCCTACCCAGTCTCACAACGTTAGCAACATCATTTGGCAAAATCGATAGATCCAGATTAGAGGCAAGAGATGACAGAAGACCGATCTTCACCCTGAGAGGCCAGCAGACCAAAAATGATCTCGTAGTCTCGTTGTGAAAGCTCAAAACTTCGTATGCGAGATTCCAGGCCATCAATAGTCGATGACGAAGAAGGCCGATTGATAGCTTTAGTGAAGTCCTCAAGGGCAACGCAGCGATCCTCAAGGCCAACGATCCTATCCATCAATGCAGTCCCACAGGCAAAAATCTCGTCCTCCGCAGTGGTAAGTCTATCAATATCCGATCCCACATGAATAGATGAGGTAACAGCATCCTCAAGATCACGCAATCTTGAAGAGAAAGCCTTCAATCTACTGTCAAGATTCATCATCAAGCCGAATCTGGCCTCCACGGATCCAATGCGAGTCTCCAGCGAGCCAAGCCCAAGTGCTAAGTCAGACACCCTGCCAGCAAGATCAGCAAGAGCACGAACAACATCGACAGCGCCAGCGGAACATCCATCAGTAGTATTCTTAACACTCATAGAACCACAGTTAGGGGAAGGAGGAGCATTGTCCACGCCGCAAAAAGAGCATAAATGGTTGCGTGGTAAAAATCGTTTACACTTGGAATAAGCCGGTTTACCCAAGGCTCCAAGCTTGCTTTGTTTCGGCAAGGACGTCATAGCAATAGAGGCGAGACCGAGGCGAGACCGAGATGAGACTTAAGGTCCGAATTCGAAACCAATACGAGATTTTTTATATCGACAGTCTCGACGATACCGAGTCTCGTCGAGACTCTCGAATTTTGTAATATGTAAGATATATTTGTCAACGCGTAAGATATTTATATAGTCTTAAATTTTTTATATAGATATTTATATTATATAGGGTGTCCCACGGGAAGGTGTTGAAACTAATCAGCTGTCATTTTCGAAGGTATTCAGTTATTGAAAAAACAAAAATGGCGCTGAAAAGAGGAAAGTCTGCAATTTTTAATAAGTACAAATAAAGTTTAACAAAATGTTTGTGTATCAATTAATTTTATTGATGAAAAATATAAATTCTCTTCCATCCAAAGTAATAATTATTTATCAAATACATAGTAATTTAATTCTCCTTCAATACGTTATCACAAAATTGCATTACCTTGCTTAATTCAAGTATTAACACAAAAAATTGAAGAAGTAACAGTATAAAATGAAAAAATTTAATTTAAATAGAAAAATTTTTCATGTAAAGCACTTGGCTCTGCTAGATCGAATAAAAAAAGCTATGAAAACAATTTAAAAAGGTAAATATTCAAATGGAGGGAGCCAACGCCGATGCCCTTGACTTTGATATATGTTGTTAAAGTCATAACTCTGAGTAACCTCCAACAGGTTTTAGTTGTCGCTCATTGTTCGTTAAAAAGTTATTAATAAAAGAAGTTTAAGAAATATTGTCTCATTTCTAGTAAATACAGTATTAAATACTACCTTATACCCCTTATAAAGGGTGTTCCTAAAAAATGGCATCAACCCATCATGAGCAAATAGAGCGGACCGAACTGAGTCAAAAAGTCTTCTACCATTTTGCAGTTTGCACAATAGTTAACGAGATATTAATGTTTAAAGATAGCTGAATACGCGCGTCCGCCCGGTCTACCACTGCCGAATGTACGGCCTACCGATCACATGGCGCGCGGGCCGCGGAGAACGGGGATGGCTAAAGCTCTATATATCAAAGCATAGTGCACAGGTCCTCCATGTTGGACCTACTAATCATACCTTATACCAATAATACTAAGCGCTTATTGGACTACAGATGATTAGCAGACGACTAAATCGAAATGGCGGTCGAAATAGGTTGTCGGCATTTCGGCTCAGATCAAAGGAATGCGCTATTTTTATATATAGAGCTTTAGGGATGGCCTGGCAGGTGCGCCGTTCGAGTACGGTGTCTCGATGACCAGGCCACGCCGCTCTCCGTGGCCCGCGCACCATGTGAAAGCTGGGCCGTACATTCGGCAATGGTAGACCGGGCGGACGCGCGTATTCGGCTATCTTTAAACATTAATATCTCGTTAACTATTGTGCAAACTGCAAAATGGTAGAAGACTTTTCGACTCAGTTTAGTCCGCTCTATCTGCTTATGATGGGTTGATGCCATTTTTTTAAAGACACCCTGTTTATGGGGCATAATGACTTTTCACGCAAAGAGAGTCCACCTCATATCTAAAAGTGCAAAATTTTTCACGCGAAGCGAGATCCACCCCACCTCCCTCCTCGCTTCGCGTGGAAAGTTATTACGTAAACAGGAGAAGATTTCTTAACATATATAATACTAAAAATTCTTAATATTATACAGAGAATATCTCACAACTATTGCATTTCCTCTTAAGAACATATTCTTGAGGTAATTTTGAGACAAAATCCTAATACCAAAATGTCGAGGCTACAATAGTTTTTGAATTATAATTGGTTAAAGAGAGTGTGTAATAGAATGTTTAAAAGAATCTAGAAATAATAATAGAGGCTATAAAAGTAAAATAGTTTTTAACTTATAAGCATTTAAAGTTAGCTTATAATTAAAAAAATTATTGTAGTCTCGACATTTTCATATTAGGATTTTCGTCTCAAAATTATCTCAAGAATATGTCCTTAAGAGGAAATGCGGTAATTGTGAGATGTATATGGCAAAAATAGGACACGTTATTTTTCAGACTTTTTTTCTTAATAATTTTTTACCAAACAAAAACGAGCAATGATTAAAATCTGTTGGAGGTTACTCAGGGTCATGATCTTAACAAAATATGTCAAGATCAAGATCATCGGCGCCGTCTCTCTCCACATGAATATTTACCTCAAATCTTTTATATTGGGTTGGAGAAAAAGTTCTGCGGATTTTTAATATAAAATTTAAAAATTGACATTTATAATAATTTATTCAGTCAATGTATTGACCGTCTTAATCTACAACTTGTTGCGAACGCTTCGGTAAGGCCTTGATATCGTTCTCATAAAACTCTTGGGACTTGTGAGCGAAAAAATCAGCGAGGTGATTTCGGACGGCCTCCATTGAGTCGAACCGTTGACCGTCAAGACTGTTTTGCAGTGCGAAACAAGTGGAAATCGAACGGTGCAAGGTGGTCCGGCCCATAGTGGGTGCTGACATCATTTCCTAGCCAAAGCTCTGCAATTTTTTTTTTCATGATGAAAGAAGTATGTAGTCGGGCGTTTTCATGATGGAAGACCACACCCTTCCTATTCGATAATTCTGGCCGTTTCTCCTGCACTGCGCAATTTGTCGAGCTGGGCGCAGTACTTCTTCGAATCTATTGTTTGGCCCTGCGGGAGCAGCTCGAAGAACAACACTCCTTTATAGTCCCATCAAATGCTGAGCATCACCTTCTGCGGATGCAAATCAGATTTCGCCATCGTTTTTAAAGACTCGTCCAGACCGCACCACGATTTCTGCTGCTTGATGTTATTGTAGACAACCCATTTCTCATCTCCAGTGATGATCCGTTTCAGAAATGGGTCTAGAGAATTTTGTTTCAAGAAAGACTCACACACCAAAATCCGGTCCATGATGTTCTTTTCAGTCAGTTTGTGCGGCATCCAGAGGCGTATCTAAGATATGGCAGGCATGGCACGTGCCCTGGGCGCCACTTGAAGGGGGTGCCCTGGGCGCCACTTGAAGGGGGTGCCCAGGGCCAAATCGCGCAAAGTAGTTTTTATTAATTCAGTACGATCCAATGTATTTCCTCAAATATGGTATATATCAATGAATCAAAATATTAATCTAACAACCGAATTTTATATCTAAACTTTGTAAAAAATACCGTTTTCTTCGTTAAAATAATAAATCGTCAAATATTTTATTTATATAATATTTTATATAATTTATTTATATAATTTTTTTATTCACTAAAAGATAATTATAATTACACTCTACATAATTTGAAATATTTTTAATTTAAATATTTATTTCAAAATGTTAATGTCGCAGAAATTATAAATTATAAACATGAAATCTTCATGACAATTGAATTAGTAAGAGCCAAGTTTATTTTTTGCAATGTGAAAGATAGGTCAAGGCTTAATAATTATTTAAGTCAATTATTTTTCTTTGCCTTTTCTGTGCAAATCTTTGCGTGCAAATTTTATCGTAAAAATACATTTCCTTTTCATCTTTTCATATTTCTTTTTTTTCTTAGTAACGATAAACTTTTATCTGAAAAAATTAACTTTTAACAGATCATAGATCAATTTGCAACAGTGAAAGCAATTAATGTAATGCAAATAAATGAAAAATAAACGTACTTGACTTTTTGAGCCGATATTATGTAAAATTATCTAAAACATGGATTTCAGATATTTGAACAGGGGCGCAATTTCAGTGCTTGCCATAGGAGCTATTTTCCGTAGATATGCCTCTGTATACACCGGACTTTTTCATCATACCTAGCTTTTTCAATCGGTCCACAACGATTGTATGATGAATGCCGAAGCGCTCCGCAATCTCTCGAGTCGTTAAGTGCCGATCACTTTTCACTGCAGCCAGAAGTTGGTCGTCATCAGCAGCATTTGGCCATCCAGAGCGTAGTGCATCTTGGAAGTTAAATTCTCCGGAATGGAAGTGGGCAAACCATCTTTCGCATGTGTCCGCGCTTAAGGCCATGGCACCATACACGGTGCATATTTCTCGCTTAGCGTCCACCGCTTTACGGCCTTTACGGAATAAAAATAACAAAATATGGCGAAAATGCAATTTTTGCTATTCCATTTTACTTGTATGCTGTACACGCAAAACACGTCCGACCAAAACAAATACTTCTGCCAAATGTCAAACGTAGTGCGACTCAAAAATGTGCAACAGACTGGAATTTGAATGACACATGATATCTATTTTCTGTGACACTAGTGTCTAGAATATCTATAATAAGAGTACTGTATAGCCACCGTCGCAGTGGCGGCCATGTATGGGTTGAAACCGAAAGTTCACAGTTATAAGACGCAAAATGTTCAAATATTATTATAATAAAATAAATGCAAACTAAAATACTTGTTTTTGATGACTTGATAATGATTTTTTTTCAAGATATTAGTTACAATATGAAATACATAAACTCACTTTTATTTTACTACACTTCGTAAACCACTTTGGCTGCGTTTGGTTTGGCGCTTTAAAGCATGCAAAAGCATGTAAACGTACAAATAGATTATCGAACTCAGAAACTCCTTTATCTATACGTACTTCCGGTTTCAACCGAGACATGGCGGAGCTAGTAAAAAATCAGACACATTGGCCATACTCTTATTATAGGTACTCTAGTGTCATCTATTAAAAAAAATCCGCAAAACTTTTCCTCCAATCCAATACAAGTGATATATATCATTAGAATTAAATAAATAATAAGAATAAGAAGAATTAAATAAATAAGAAGAATTAAATAAATAATAAGAATAAATAATAAGATTGAAAGACCGCTAATGTTAAACATAATGCTTTAAATTAAGAAGCGCCATAACGGTCAGAACGTTAAGATGTTGAACCATTGTAAATTCATTTAAATGAATTTACAATGGTTCAACATCTTAACGTTCTGACCGTTATGGTGCTTCTTAATTTAAAGCATAATAAGAATAGTATCACTTGTATTCTACTTTTTAATTTGGTACAATAAAGACAGTATCACTTGGATTTTATAATTTGGTACAATAATTTTTTTCAAGGAGCACATATTCTTTTTTTTACCTTTTTTAAAAAGGTAAGTTTTTTTCCGTTTTTCATTACACCAATTGATTTGTCTCATTATTCTATACATAAACATGGTGTCCAGCAAAATCTGGCTAGTCAAGGATAATTTCAGGATATTCCAGGGAAAAATCCTGATTTTTCCAGGATTTATCCCATGGATTAGTTTTCATTATTTAATTAATTTTCATCGATTTGCACAATATTATATGTTTTGTATTTAAGTTAGGATTCTATGCGAATGAATTAAAACGCTCTAACAAATTTAGAACAATATTATTTTTTGCTTTATAAATAATATCAAACGAACATTCCGTCAACACAAACAATTTTTCTACTGTGTTCTATTTTAAACATTAAATTCAAGTTTCTCATTTTCTATTAATAACTTATTGCATTTTTAAGGGAGGACTTATACTCAAACACAACTTTTCTTCTTCTTATTTTTTTTACGCTCTGATTTTCTTAGACTGAAAAAATAAATTCCAGGCAAGCTCTGAAATTTCAGGCGTTTTCCAGGAATTTTCCAGAACATAAAATTCCAGTATAATTCTAGGATTCAAGGATATTCAAGGACGGTTAGACACCATGATAAAGGTATTAAACTGATTCATTATTACCTCGTGAATTTCGTACCTCGAGTGAATATACCAGGAAAAATATTTCCTATTAGAAAAAAAATACTTCCTATTAGTGTGTAACTCGAAATGTCATTTTCATTTAGAAATTTATACCTCAAATTTAGAGGTACTACGCTATACAAGATTAAGAGTGTGTGCTTGTTTATATAAAAGAATCAAAATATCGAATCGTGAATAAAGAAGATATACCGTGAATAAAGAAGATATATTATTTATTATAATAAAGAATGATCAATAGTATGTAGAATAATATAGTACCTTCAACGAATTAGGCAAGTATTCCGTGAGAAAATCTAGGAGCTTGTATAATTCCTCTTCAGCGAGTAAACGAAAATTCCGGCCTCGTTCTACCGCTTCGGGGCACTCCATACTGAAACTAATTACCAAAAGATTAAATATGTAAATGGCGTGTGAACTTTTGATTCTTCTCATAAACGCCGGCCTCATTTTGGAAACAAATAATTCGTAATTTTATTGTGACGTATAAATAAATAATTTAATTTTGTAAGAGATTAATACATAACTTGGCTGTACTTCCGAATAAGACACCCTTCCGGTTGAGCTGAAACTTTAGAGGTAATATTGTTACAATGTGATTATTTATGAAAATCCTATCTTCGGGTTTTGTATAGTTTAAGAAATAAAAAATAAGAAAGAAAAATTATGACGATAAGTATGCTGATTGGGGAAGACCTTTCCGATGACTTTGATTTTGAAACATGTTGTCAAAGTCACGACCCTGAGTAACCTCCAAGAGGTTTCAGCCATCGCACGTTATTCGTTAAAAAATTGTTAACAAAAAATGTTTAAGGGATAACGTCTTATTTTTGTTATATACAATATTAAGATCTCAATACTCTCTCCTGCCTAGGGGCACACGACTTTCCACGCTAAGCGAGTTTCACTCCACTTCCCCCTGTTAAGGAGCGCACGACATTCCACGCGAAGCTACCTTTTTTTAACTTTTAAACTAGGGATGCACCGGATATTCTAAAAGTATCCGGTATCCGCTATTATCCGGCATTGTTTTACTATCCGACCGGATAGTCGGATATCATTAGTATCCGGGAATATATCCGGTTGAAATTTTATATCATTAAATTATTGATTTGTTATTATACAAATGTTTTATAAATAAATATGCATATTCATAATGCCATATTAATATTTTATGCATTGTTGCAAAATTACAATTTTTTCTCCACAGCCCCCCCTCCCTTTTTTTTAGAAGACAGTTTCCCCGAAATTCGATCGGATATCCGGAAAATGTCGGATATCCGACTCGAAGAAATTGCCTTCTCGGATATTCGATGTTACATTCTGTCCGGATATCCGATATCCGGTAATTTTACGATCCGGTGCATCCCTATTTTAAACTACACAAAACCCGAAAATAGGATCTTCATAAACAATCATTATATATCGTAACAATATTACCCGCACAGCACCTTTCATTGCAAATATATATTAAATACGTATCTATATTGCATTTATATTGCGTTTCATATCAAATATAATGTATTAAATATATAATTAATACAATGGATATGAAATATCCGAGTCGAAATATGTACTTAATACGTATGTAGCAGGTATACTGTTCATATCCAAATCGAAATACGTATATGATACGTATGTAGCAGGTATATTATGTATATTTAAATGTATGGATATCAAACACGTAGTTGATACATGTATAACAGAATTTAGAATATGATATGTCACAAGATGGCGTACCGTAATAGCACCAAATAACGTTTAAAAAATCATAAACGGATAGTTTTGAGCAAGTATCTGTATGGTGGTTATCGACTGTATCTAAGAATAACAACAATATTAAAGTATCATATTAGACCGCGATATGAACACACAACAGTCAAGAAATAGAGGCTTATTTCAGTCAAACTTGAATTTTTAGTGCTGATCGAAACAATTCGTGTGAAATAAGTTTAGGTTAAATAGTAAAAAATAATTTAAATCAAATAGTAAGTCAAAGGTAAGTTCTCTGGCGGAAAGAAATGTTAACAAAAAAGTACAGAAAAACTGCATAGTGTCATAATCTTGAGACAAGATTTTTGAAATTCTTAATTTTTCCTAGATATTTATAGTAGGATGTAGAGTGAGATTTATTTTTGTCTCAGAAATTCTTAGTTTTTCGTAGATATTCGTAATGGGACATACAATATTGTGATTAATTTCACTTTTTGAATCTTCAAATTTTAGAGCCAAAGTATCAATCAAGTTGACATTAAAATTTTTTTAATTCAAAAAATAGAATTACACATTTTGGCCTGTAAATGGCTTATATAATACATATACATAATACATTTTGAACGCGTATTTGCAATATTAGGAATACGTATCAAATACATAATTTACATATTTAAGACGGAAAAAATATATATGTTATATGTATTTGGTATGTAATATAAATTATGTATCTATATAGTACGGAAATTCATCGGTATTTAACTTAAATGCCGTACGTCAAAAAAATCACGCAGATATCACACGGAGTTAATTGAACTCCAGCGTGAAAAAGTGTACACTATTCCTAGAGTTTTCAATATTTTGCTTTGAAAATTTCTTTGGATATTCCTCAAAGCTTCTAAAAGAAGATGTAATTGCAGTTATAGTGAAATTTTATTGTAAATAAAATTTCACTATAACTGCAAAAAAATACTAAAAAAAGTACTAAAAAAAAATTGATTAACATTAAAAAAACGTTCTTTTTAAACAAATAACTGTATTTTTTTAAATTTTTAATATTTTTCGCTAAAAATTTAGGGTTGTACTCCTGAGATAGTATTTTTTTAGATAAAATTAAGTCCGATACTGGATATTTTAAAAAAGATATTTATTTTGCGAAATGAATGGGGAAATTTTAAAGAAAGAAAAAAATATAATTAATGATTTATTTGATCTAATATATTTGATGAAAAAATTATGAAAAAAGTTTTTTGGGCATATAGTTACAAAAGAATATGTAAAAATATTACAAAAAGTACAAAAATATGCGTCCATGACTTCATCATCCTCATCATCATGCATCAGCTCCTCTTCGACTCCGCAAATTATATTCCATCTAATTATTCGTGAAAAAGTTATTTTTACAACTAAGAAAATTTTATAGCGCGCACAGTAATACTTATAATTCAAAATGATGAAATTTACACAAAAACGTGAATAAAAAAGTCGTTCCTATTTTCACTTTGCACAACGTAAATGACACACTGAGGTATTTTGTATCTTCGAAATGCGTCGTTCCTGCTCGGCTGCTATATAGAAACAGATTTGCCGCGAACTTTTCAACAAGTAGTTGGGGATCTAAATTAATGATAAATAGAGCCAGAAATTCGATTTCCAGCGGGATCATAAATATATATGTGATTGAAAAAGCTTTGAGGTCTTTTGGACCTCCAGTGGCACTTAAGGGTTAAAAATACGCATCTGATATATGATCTATACGTATTACTACGAATCTGCTATATAGCTATAACATTGCAAATTTTATGTATCTAATACATAAATAAATTACGTATCTATAGGACATTTATCGGTATTAAACATATATCTGGTATATGATTCATACGTATTGCTATGTATCTGCTATATAGCAACATTTCAAATTTCATGTATCTGCTACGTATTTGAAATCTAAATTGCTGTGCGGATTGTCTATAAAGTTTCAACTCAATCTGAGGGGTGTCTCATTCGGAAGAACATCCCATAACTTTTCAGGGAAAAGTTAAATCATTTGTTACGTGATACTATAAAAACTTATGAAAAAAGTCACATGACAAAGACACGCCGCACGCGGCATTGTCTGCTTATTCCGAGGTTTATTCATTGCTACACTGCAACTGGTTTCAGATTGATGAATATCGGTGAAATATTATGTATAATCATGAATTGCGAGAGTAATTATGTAACAAATTAAAAGTTAATGCATGTTATTAGTGAAAACTTTATAACTTGAACTTTTCAAGGCCTGACTCATTGTTTGTAATAGTTTACGTCGGAATTCAGCTAGATTTTAAGCTAACCTTTATCCATATTAAATAGTCTAAATTAAGAAGCTCTTCATACTATTAGTAAAGTATAATTTTTTGCAAACCTTATTGCAAGACATTTGAAAATTATAATAAGGATCATTTATCGATATAAAATAACATATGGATAAACGTCAAATTAGAAATAAATTCTGTTCAAAATAATTGTTGGGTCGATCGAAAAGTTGGTCCATTCTTTCTGTTTTATGTAATCACACACATACAACGGTTCCATTGCCAACTATGTTTGTTAAATAATATTGACACTTTCATAATGGAAATGCATAAGGCAATTTATGCAGACCCATTCTTACATATTACAATTTAATGGTATCGAACGTTTTGATTTCCTTTGAGTTATCTTCAATGTCCATAACTTATAAAAATCCACTTACATCAATGTATCTGCAAACAATTTCAATCCATCTGTCAGATAAAACGTCTTTTATTACCAAATTGAGAAGTACAAATGTTCATTTGTTCTTCAGCTAAATAAACGCCGCTGTAATAATAACTGATTGTGAATACTACAAATAGTACAAAAAACATATAATAAATGTGATATAATGACAAAATCAAACAGCCGTTACAAGATTATTTGCAAGTCTTGTAACGACTGTTTGTTTGTGTCATTATATTACCGCAGCGGCGCGGGTGTTCATTTAGCTGAAGAATGAATGAACATTTGTATTCTTTAAGGTGGTTCTTTAGTAAATTGCGTTATCATAGAAATGTCTAATTTTTTTTATATAATGAAGTTGAAGTACCGAAATTGATGTGTACAAAATTCTACGTAGGTTAATGATGAAATAAGAGAAAAAAAAATGTTGAAAATATAACCTTTCACGTATAACTTAGTAACAGATCGCAGAGCTTCTTTGACTAATTGTACACAAATCTCATCATAAACTTTTCTCAAAAACGAGATTATAATAGTTAAAAAAATTACGCTTTTAATGGTCATAAAAAAGTAATAGGTCAACGACCATTCTGGAAAGATATTTACGTGCATAAATTTGCATATAAATTTAACCTCGAAAAGTAAACATAATTTCATCTTGTTTTCGTTCGATAAAGATGCAGCTCTTGATTTAGTATTATATGTTCCATACTATTATGCATTTCATTAAGATATACACGTAGTTTTAATATTTTATCCAAATTATGCGGATATTTATAATTTTGGGTAGGCCCTGGTGAGGCATCCCAAATTTTCGGCACTTTACTAAAGAACCACATTAATTTGATAATAAAAGAGGGTTTATCCGCTGCATATATGTGGACTGCGGATACATTGACGACTGTAAGTGGATTTTT